AGTCGTTGAAAAAACCAACTACAAAGATACGACGCAAGCACACAGAAAAATTCGTGAGATCCGCTGGTTCGTTCCTTTGCTTAGTTGGTATAGCATCTGGCACGGTAAGCTAGAATACGTCGGTTCAAATCCGGCCGGATCGAAGGAATTTTTTCTGAGTGTTCGATCTTTGTATTAAAAATTATAAAAAAAGGTTATATATCCGGTTTATTTGAATTTAAAGTTATTTCTTACTTAAAGTTGTTTATTATCAACCAGTACGACCGCCATCTCAAGTACGAATAAGGCGGGAAATGATTGTTACACTGTACCTAAAGCTATATAAGGACGAAGCCCACACGGTCATGACGTCAGGTAATGACAAAATAATAACATCCTGACCCTGTGATGTGCTCAATGAAAAGATGAACGGGTAGATTGTAGTATCTGACGAGTACCACTTTTTATGTGTCAGTTTATCTGATTACCGAATGATGTCAGCTCTTTCATAAGATACTATTATTTTCTGTTGTCCTAGTAGATGGGCTCATTATGTATTTAAGACTTCTTTATCTGATAGAGTCTCGTTAGACTCTATATCCATATACATATTACAATGTTTATGATATGATAATATATACGTATATCACACTGTTATTACGATAGTGTTGTAACTAAAAATTCGTAAAATTCAAGATCATCAATAAAACCGTCGTTATATAAGAAACAATTAAAAGATATCAACATGAGACAAACCTTATGCGAGCTAGTCTAGACAAAACAGTCGTTATTAAAAAATATGAAATATTTTTTTCTATTTAAATTTTAAATGTATTTGGTAAATAGAAAATTGTTTAGATGCCTGTAATAAACTTTAACCTATATATAAAGTTTAATAATCTTTCACAGGAAGTAAGTACCTTGATTTTCATCGATTCTAAAAAAATAAACTTGCGATAAAGTGTGACATGATGACAACATATCAAGGAAAGGTTTAAAGACTACGAACGAAATTAGTCGACAAGTTCATTTCACATAGGCTGGGTACAGTGATATTTCTAATTTTTACGTTGCATGCATAGTATTTTTAACTAGGTACTCTTATAATCAAGTTACAAAACGAAATGCTAAATTTGTTATAATATATCACAAACAAACAATACGAGTCATCCAAAGAACAGAGTCCGACGTGATTATACAGCGAAAAGACGGTAAATACATAACCTTGTTATTCAAACTAAGGCCTATCTATAGGTGTATTCAGAATTTTTATATGTTATTTCGTTTCGGAAATATAAAATCGAACAACGGTCGATCTGATATCCACAGCGAAAAACAACGATAAAAATGTACAGTGTCCTGAGAATAAACCTATATCTATGGAATAAACAGTCTTGCTCATAGGACTTTGTTCTACGGATGAGTCGAATACTTGTTTTAATTGTAAATTTAAGTAACAATTGCAGTATATAAAGTAGATAGAAACTGAAATGATAAAGATAAAAGTAAATTACCCAGTACTTGATGCGTAAAACGGAATATTTATCCATAGAGGTTTACACTATAGAATAGATAAATCGAATCGGCAATTGTGTATCTCGCGTCCAGTACGAGTACATGCGCACACACTTTGAATGCCGGTCCTTTTCTTTTGTTTTGAGCTTTTGAAGTAATTGTTCAAATTTCGTTTTGTTGCTATTGACTTTATTCTTTTTTATAATTATTAATACAAAGATCGAACACTCAGAAAAAATTTCTTCGATCCGGTCGGATTCGAACCGACGTCTTCTTGCATATAGTGCCAGACGCTATACCTATACCAACGGACCTCACGAATTTTTCTATGTGCTCGCGTCGTGTCTTTGTACTTGGTATTTCAACTACTTTTTAGTCGTAGCGCCATCTATGAGAAATCTATTGCAGGTTTATCACCCAGTTAGTACCTTTACAGGTACCAGTCCTGTTGTCGCTATTCATTGTATTAATTAAATTTTTATTGAATTGATATTCAATTATTTTTTGTGAAATTACTCCACTAGTTTGTTATAATTATTAATACAAAGATCGAACACTCAGAAAAAACTATTATTATTATTATACTATATACTATTATTATTATAACTGTATTAATAATTATAACAAACTAGTGGAGTGATTTCACAAAAAATAATTGAATATCAATTCAATAAAAATTTAATTTATTCTTTTTTGTTAACTGACTTCAAAAAAGGAGGAGTTTTTTTGTGTGTATGTTAAGCGATTACTTGGGCATTTGTTTTGTGCAAGTTTCAATTTAGAATTCACCTAAAGAGTGTACCTCAGTATTAGTCCCGTTTAAATTTGAAGAGAATATTCCACCTCTAAGGGTCGCAAACTAGGTTATTGAAGTCACCGATTTGAATAAAACTTGATAACTAGACGTAATTCCACTAACTTTTGAGGTCGGTATTATTTTTTTTATAAAAAAAGTTATAATTATTGTTGTAATTATTACTTTTTGTTTGTAATCATTGACTTACAAATAAATGGACGACGGGTCTAATACAAAAACCACGAAAAAAATGTCCCAAGTCAAGCTATTTAAACGTAGTGACATGTAAAGGAATATGAAAAAGCTAAAACGTTGAATTTAAATTGTAATGTCATCGCGGTACTGTCTAATTTTGCTTGCTTCGCTGTCAGTCGAACAAACGAAGACTAAAGCGTGAATGACGCTCTGTATACGATTTTAACGCCCTATAATTTCGGACACTTTTTAGCGCGGACCCGACGTCCATATAATTGTAAGTCAATGTTTGTAATGCGCTTTTTGAGTAAGTTATTCACATCATAATTGAATCCTTTTTATTTTGTTTATTATTTGTTCTTAAACTAGTCTCTAAATTCACAAACAAATTTAAACATAGTATGGTAATCAATGACATCACTTGACCTCGTAATGGCAGCACTAGTAGGTATAGTATGGAGTAAAAACTTTGTAAATATATAAAAAGATGATTTCTATGAAAAGATGGTTGTAACTTTTTTAATTAAGAGTGACGTTTTGCAGTCGATAATTTAAAAATATACAAGTTATATTAAAACTTTTTTAGGTTTGATTTAATGAAAGTAGAATTTTAATAATTTAATTAATCAAATAGCGAATTTGAATCGATCGTTTTAAAAAAGGCACAATGTTAATTCGAATTTTTCAAAAGCTATTTTGAAATAAGCTTGCTGCTTGACGTGTCCGAAATTCTTTGAATTTATCGTGTCCCGGCGAAAGTATTTTTAAACCATGAAAAATGTTTTTAATTCGTAATATGTAAATATTTGCATTATAGGTACACTGGATATTATCGTACTTTTTACATCATTGTTATTTTTGTTTATGGTAGAATAATCAAGTTCTTTAATGTGCCGCAACACGATTAAGTTCCACGACGTGTAACATTACAAAAATATATTTTTTAATTGGACCGTGTGCAGAGAACAAACCTACTTCAATAATTATTTTCTAAGTTAACAGAAGTAGGTATTTTCTATAGAGTCTTAAACTAAAACAACGACAAATTATTTTTTTATACTTTTTAATACTTATACTTTGCAGGAAAATGCGAAGTATGTTACACAAATTAGAGATTAATTCTTTTCACAGCAAGCGGCCATTTTGGAAAATTGAAATTTAGAATGAATTAATGAATAAAATAAATACATTGAAAACTCAGAACAGTAAAGTATCACAGAATAAGCTAATGCACAGCAGACGGCCTTAATGGTCTTCGAAGCAATCTCAGTAGCGAACTTCGTGCAGGGAAGTACTGCCGCCAAGCAGCAATGTGAGAGAAACTCAAAGTTGTCTCGCACTTTCAAAATGAAATGCAAGCTTGGGCTACATTCCAGATAAAGATCGGCAAGTAATCAGTTTTCCATTTTGCTCGCGTGCCTACTAGAGGGCGCCATGGTATTTTTAACTATTTTTTAAAAAAAAAACAACACCAAACCATAAAGCATCTTATTGTATCTTGATAATGTTTTACTCAATACTACAATACAAACCGATTAACCTAATTCCTTTTTGTAGTTCACAGCAGCTGTCTGTATTTGCTAACTCATTTTTCTCTGAAACACAAGTATGACCTACTTCGGAATGAATGTCATTTGAATAATAACAAATCTTTTGAGCTTGAGTGACATGTTCATGATACAATTCGTGTCTTGTAGTAAACAAAAATAGTGACATAATACTTTTATTTATTAACGAATTTAACTCTGACATCACTGTAGTTATCGTAGGAAAACTGTATCACTCGTCCAATTTAAAATGACCGGCCTCGGCGACTGCTGACGAACTAGTTAAGGTCATCTTCTTGTTGTAAAAGGGGTCTCAAGTCTGTGGTTGGACTGTATAAGTGCATTTACTATATTTAGATTCAAGGTAAGTGATGTCAGGTGCGTGCCTATAGTTCTAAGAAGATGACTTCTGAGTACAGGACGTGTTCAATTTATTTGGTTTTTCATTAAATGACACAATTGCAAGGTTACTTGATTGCTCTGCATTATTTTCTGCTTATTCTTAACGTTCTATGACCATGGCATCCTTTGCATAAGTCGTAACGATGTTGTTTTGCTTGAATTACATGTGTCAAGATTGTCTACGACTGGTGACTGATGTTTTTCGTTATAATGAAATAAACTTATCAATGATTAATTTGTGGATTTGCAACAGGTTTTTGATAAATGATTCGTATGTGACGTATAGAAAACAACTATTAATAAATAAAAAAAATTTTATTATATACATTAAATAATTGTTCAAGACAATTGAAATAGTACTGGAAACTTCGGTTATTGAAGCCGTTATTTATTCACGTCTGGAGTTTTCAAATCATGTCCAAACTTAATAATACATATGGGGCGTCTATTTATATATCAGCCTTTGTAGTCAGATCTTACTCTCAAAAAGTTTATTGGAATCAAGAGGAATGTATTTCATATGATTTTTATAGATTCACGCTCATTTCATGACCGGGGTTTGTTAAGTCGTGCATTCTGTTAAAAGTTAGAAAGCAGGTCTTTACATTTCACAGTATAGGAATCATTAATGTTACTTAGGTATAAAGTAACGCAAAATATATTTGAATGGCATGTACATTGTTGCGACGAAACGCGTGTTGTTTATTAACGCTTATTCGACGTCATGTTCTTGCTCCTCATCGAACTCCGCATCCTCGTCGGCGGTGGCCTCCTGGTACTGCTGGTACTCGGACACCAAGTCGTTCATGTTGCTCTCAGCCTCGGTGAACTCCATCTCGTCCATGCCCTCGCCTGTGTACCAATGCAAGAAAGCCTTGCGCCTGAACATAGCGGTGAACTGTTCCGAGATGCGCTTGAACAGCTCCTGGATAGCAGTCGAGTTGCCGATGAAGGTGGCGGCCATCTTGAGGCCACGCGGCGGGATATCGCACACGGCGGTCTTCACGTTGTTCGGGATCCATTCCACAAAGTAAGAGGAGTTCTTGTTTTGGATGTTAAGCATCTGCTCGTCGACCTCCTTCATGGACATGCGACCGCGGAAGATGGCAGCGACGGTCAGATAGCGGCCGTGGCGTGGGTCACATGCTGCCATCATGTTCTTGGCATCGAACATCTGCTGGGTGAGTTCGGGAACGGTGAGAGCGCGGTATTGTCTGCTGCCACGGGATGTGAGAGGAGCGAAGCCAGGCATGAAGAAATGAAGACGTGGGAATGGCACCATGTTGACGGCCAATTTTCTAAGATCGGCGTTTAACTGACCAGGGAACCGAAGGCAAGTAGTGACACCGGACATAGTGAGGGAGACTAAGTGGTTGAGATCACCGTAGGTGGGTGTGGAAAGTTTGAGCGTGCGGAAACAGATGTCATATAGAGCCTCGTTGTCGATACAGTAAGTTTCGTCTGTGTTTTCTACGAGCTGATGAACTGAGAGAGTCGCGTTGTAGGGCTCAACTACTGTGTCTGATACTTTGGGCGAGGGGACGACTGAGTATGTGTTCATGATTCTGTCGGGGTACTCTTCACGAATTTTTGAGATAAGGAGTGTACCCATACCGGAACCGGTACCACCACCGAGGGAGTGTGTGAGCTGGAAGCCCTGTAGGCAGTCGCATGATTCGGATTCCTTACGAACTACGTCAAGAACTGAGTCGACAAGTTCAGCACCCTCGGTGTAGTGTCCCTTAGCCCAGTTGTTTCCGGCACCAGACTGTCCGAATACGAAGTTGTCGGGGCGGAAGATTTGTCCAAAAGGTCCAGAACGAACTGAGTCCATGGTGCCGGGTTCCAAGTCCACAAGGATGGCTCTAGGGACATATTTGCCACCGGATGCTTCATTGTAGTAGACGTTGATGCGCTCCAACTGCAGGTCGGAGTCGCCGTGGTAAGCGCCGGTAGGGTCGATTCCGTGCTCATCGGAGATAATCTCCCAGAACTGTGAAAGAAGAAAAGCATTTGTCAATAAAACGCTGCAATTAGTGTGGAATAGAATGCAAGTCATTAAAATGCCGGCACGAAAGCTCTGCTCTCACAAATAAATGTGCGCCTCCGCAATGCCGCCGCTTTCAAACCGGTTCTATGCAACAGATATCAATGAAGAATGCGTATCTAAGTACCTATATCTTGTAAGTTCCATTCATATTTAAATATTGGAATATTCAGAGCTTTGTATGGAAGTACGTCGAGGAATGCACACTACAATAAAGCTCAATGAACCGTCGCGTTAATGGTAGACAGGATACATAATACATGTTTAATGGATAGTGCAGCTTTACAGTAGATTACGCAAGACAATGGCTTGAGTTATAGCAGGCGGGCCGGTGTGCCGCCTTGGCGTCGAGGCAGCGGGCGACGCCCACGTATCGTTCCGTATTTGGCTTATCTCACCATATAAGCAGAGAATGTCTTGTACACGTTCATTACAATCTTATTAGCATTCGAAACCTTTCGATCTTCGAAATCCATGGCCTGGTTACTCGGCTTGCTGCCAGTGGCAACCATATGGTCACATAAATAAATCCACTTCTGTTAATCGTATTGCAATTATAAAGCGCATTTGCGCTTTTCTCATGTCTCACACAATTATTGATAGAACTACGTAAGCAAAGAACGCCTGGCTTTTGGCTAGCGAAGGAATTAAAATTCAGTTGACGACGATAGATATGATGTCATCGTTCAGTCCGTAGGTTGCTTGTGTGGGTAAGGCGACCCGCCTGACATTGCCATATACGGCTATATGACTAATTATGGAGGCCAACTTTGATTCAGCGTTACAAGGTTCGGTGATTCTTAATATAGGAATTGCGAATATTTCCTCAGTGGTTTTGGCGATTGCCTCTCCAAATTAGGGTCAATTGCCTTCGGAAATGTCGTCTGGAATTACAGTAATCACAGATATCAATAAAGTGTGACACGTAAAAATCTACTTTCAAAAACTTCATGACCGAGTGATGATTTTTAATAACAACAAAAAGTGAAAGGCGATCAGGTGCGGTTCGATTGTGGCGCGAAAGGCTGCTTTCTTAGTCGTAACTAGATAAGAGAAGGCACGACGAAATGAAAGTGTGTGAACGGCACAATGTACCACTTGCAAGGGAAAACCTGGTGCGTTGTACAATAGGTGTTTTGTGCGTACCCTACCTGGCTTAGAACGCATATGGTTTTGCTGCGACCGCTTCCAACTTACTAAATAATTCATGCATTGATCGGAGAGGATCGGAGATCTCTGAACGGTTTTCTGAGATCAAAATATTGCGTGTGTGGTTATTTATATGCGCTCATCGGCCGCCGCCGCGGGTTCATCGCCCGCTATAATCCATCGGACTTTGAATTCTGTTACCAAACGTGGCTTGCCAAGATAAGCTTATCTAGAACTCATGGTAAGCACCGGTGAACATGGCGCAAAATGGCGCGTGTTAGATAACTTTTCAAGCCTATAATTTTGTACGCAAATGTATCACACATCCCCGACGTATCAATTCGAATGATCATCAGAGTGAAAAATCTAGTACCGAGTTGAATTGCCATTGTTTCGGTTAGCAATCACTGAACGAAATTACCCGTGACACTATAGTTGCTGGTCGAAAACGATGTAAAATCTGGCTCGGTGTTACAGACACATACATCTGATTTTTTGTTTAAAATAAACCAACTGCGCAAACTTTGTTAGAGGATGTGCATGACGAGCTACGTTGAGAGGTGTTAAATGTTATCCATCTCGTTCCAACAAAATTCTCTGAACTAAATGAATCACGCGTTGACTAAACCTCTCGTAAGAGGGTAACCGTGGCCAATAAATATAATAGAAGAGAAACTTCGGACATGCCGAGTCAATCAATAACATCTGTGTCTATAGAAGATTGATGGCGTACCATACGGCCCAGATTAATGTAGTTTGATACTGTGGAATTTGGCTTACGGTATAATACCGCAGACTTAAGTTTTCGTAATCGCTTTAATCTTGGAGTCTGCAGATATTATACCGTTCAACTCATGAGATAGACTACTGGTTATAATTGAATGCACTCTAATTGCAGTAAGCTATTAGAAGAAACATTCATCTGAAACTAAATTGATAAATGAAATACACATAACCAAGATAAAGGACATACTTTTAAATTAAAATTGACAAAGTGGCTTTTGACACATTGCTTCTATAGTAATAAAGAATACTTAGAATTTACAAATTCATTACATTAATTAGAAACTATGGAGACTAAAGAAACATTGAATCCCATTAATATTTGCACATCTGCTTGCAGGTTGAATACAATGTACCTAATTTTACTTAAGACCTTTGTAATTACTGTATTCTGGCAAATAAACGTATTCTATTCTATTCTATTCTATTCAAGACAGCTAACTTAAGAAATCGTCAGTCTTCACATAGCAGAGTTAGGCTTAAATGTTAGATTTAGTTATCACAATCATGGCATGGATTTAAAGTACAAACCAGTTAAAAGCTCAATTAGTGTTAACAATGATTTCAATTTTGTTAATCAATAACACCCTGAATCTCATGGCCCCGCACTATGGCACACACATAGACAACCACAAATTACACCCAAACTTACGAGAGAAATAAATGTAGGCCATAGAAATATTTCTCCCGGCCCACCAATCGAACCTGGGACCTCTGCGTGGCAGACCAGCACAAGCAGCAAATGTTGATAAGAGGAAGTTTTTTTTTTATAACATGTACCTTGTAGCTTTAATTGGAAAAAAAAAATGAACGATAGGATTCTGACGCCGTTATTTGAAGGGCGCTCCTGACAAAAACTCAAAACCGATAAAATAAGGTTTAAAGAAATTAAGTTAAAAATATCTACTTTTCTCTTGGGGTAACTTCATACCTTATCCACAAAGAAAAAATATACATATATTTTTTTTAAACGTCAAATACTAACGACGGCAGAATTCCGCTCATAAAAAAAGAACAATTGGTTGAATTAGTTTATAGAGAGAATGCTGATGGCGGATGGCAAGTAAATTACACTTAATTCATGCGCCACTGGCAGGAAGTTTCACCACTTTTCATAGGAAAGCTGATAATTATACTAATTTGAAAGTGCGTTTCGGTGAGAGTCCAGACAAACGTAAAGACTGCAATAGAATACAGAGAAGACAACTAATATAGATAACAAAAAATCAAAGAGAAAAAGATGACGAACTCCGTGCTCGAGTGGCTAACACACCGGTTTTCATGGTGTCGCCATCTGTGAGGTCCAGGGTTCGATTCCCGGCCGGGTCAATGTAGAAACTAACTTTTCTATAGGTGTTTGTGGTACCGTCGTTGTTTCCTATTTCCATAACAAAAATGCTTTAGTTACTTTTACTTCGGGAAAAGAGCAACGTATGTCATGTTGTCTAATATTTATTTATAAAAAAAAGAAAATGGAAACTGTGCTTACACTATTGGCATATTTGTCTAAACATAAAGTGGCTATTACCTCCTTTTGAAACCCAGGTACGATAAAAATGAATGATCGAAAAAAGTATATTTTTAATTTTCTACAAAACTTTTCAGCTTAATAACTATTTACACATTAAAAATAATACTGGCATTATGAAGGAGGTATTATCCGCTCTATACTTATACTCTCTTAAAGTTTAGGTGTAACTCATGTATGTTGAACTACTTGGCATAGGTCCCTATCATTAAAATGCTATTACGAGTTTATTTAACAGGCAACAAGTAATTTTATTGAAGTAAATGTATAAAAAACGAAATAATATATTTAAGTGCTTTAAACTTTAAACATTATAAAATTAACTACTAAATTGGTAAAAAATTAAGATGAGAAATATATTTACACAGATTTTTTGTTATACATATTAATAATGTTTTAGAGCAGTAGAGCTCTTTGTGTAAGAGCTTGTCCAGGGAAGTACTGTACTGTATTAAAGTGTAAGTAAGGGTGCTGGTGAAATTACAGTCACTTGGGACTTATGTCTCAGGGTGACGGACATAGAGGCAGTGCCCCTCAGATCTCTGCGATTTAAAGCTCTGAGTGGCACTGCAACTGTTACGGACAGGCGTGTCGCTTACCATCAAGCCCACGACTTGTTCGTCCTATCACTTGGTATCATAAAAAATATATTATATACCATATATTATAGACGCTTGACAACAACCTTGTTTTTTATGACTGGCAGATGCGAATAACAAGTTAAATTGAGTCATTGTAAGTTTTAGGAGTTTGTTTATTTGATGACATAACGTGTTGGATATGAAAGACAATTTTTATAATCTTAAATTAGTGTTATTGGGAGCTCTTGCAGTTCATGTACTTATACAGCCAATTTCCGTGTACACGCGTTTAAAAGCTATAATTTTTTTACGAAAATCCTGAGCATGCGTAGTAGCAATTTGGAGTATGTCAGCCCTGCCCTCATTGGTAGCCGACTGGTCATGCGTGAAAATTTCAAACCCTAACAACTAAAACTTTTGTTTCAAATTATGAATAGAGCTATGCAATAAAATCCATTATTGTTTCAGATTGTCGCTCGACCTCCTTTCGCTGCACAAAGGAATAAGCAAAATTGTCGACAATTACAAATGACATCACTTTTTCGAGAACGTGTTGCAATGAACATGGTACAATTTGCCAGCGAATTCCATAAGTGCGATAACGAAAACCGTTATAGACCGTTAGCTCTACAAGTACAATGTACGTGATGGCTTGCTTACACCGGCTATTGAAACAAAAATCACAAACAATAAGGGCTCACCTTAGCTCCAATCTGGTTCCCACACTGGCCGGCCTGGAGATGCACGATTTCCCTCATTCTGTGTTTTTGAAAATGGAATAAATTATACTTAAACACTATACGCCACTCTCGCACAACACTGCTCGAAGATTTGATCAGCCGGCCGGCTCGGTGGGGATTTTTGAGGCGAGCTTCGCCTCCGCGCCTCGGCCATTCCTCGCGCTCTGATTGGTCAATCACCGCATCCAACGTAGCGTGCTGCTAACTTCACATCGCATCTCCGCTTATCACAATCGAAATGAAGATTTACGTACATGGCCGTGCGTTGCTGCCGTATGATTTTTTATTCAATTGAAAGGGTTAACGAGTTTTTATGTCGCTTTTATTAAAATACAGCGCTGTAGAGATTTTATTGTTATGTTCTTTTAATTCTTTTCAATGCTTGGTTCCTTTTTACATGTCTGCCTCGATGGGATCACGCGTGTATGTTTGGCTGGCAGGGGTCTAATCGGTTTTGTTGTCGTTGGGTTAACACCCCTTAAAATGTTGATTAGCACGAAACGGTTGAATGGTGCATAGTCACGGCATACAACATTGTTAAATAGCTATCCGAAATAAGTAATAATATTTTTTTATTATTCTTACAACAAATATGTAGTAGACTAAAATAGATGGGAGAGACTTGATGACATGAGCCTAAACTTGGATGCTTTTTATCTTAGGTCTCCTGATCTCCCCTCTTCACTTCTACCTGAGGTGTAGATAACTTAAATTAAAAATATACTTATTAAAAAACTGAAACATCTGTCGATATAGCAACGAGGCGTTGTCGACTGAAACCTGTTTTATTTTGTATTGAACTTTTCTATGTAGAGGTATTTGTTTCGAAGAGACTGTATTGTTGTATTTAATATGATTTTTTTTTGTTTCACACAAACTGTTATTATTTATATTATTAACAATCATATTTTTATATACCAAGTGACACGTAACACGCCTGCCCATAACAGATGCAGTGCCACCCAGAGCTTTAAATTGCAAACGATCTGAGGGGAACAGCCACTGCACCCGTCACCCCGTAAGTTAACAAGTCCCATGTTCCTGTAACTTCACCAGCACCCTTAAGTCTTCAAAACCGGTACACAGTAATGATCACACTAAGTACTGCTAGGCGGCAGAAATAGGTAAGGTGGCAATAAGTACTTCCCTGGACGATCGTTTTCACATGGAGCATGAATTGAAATAAAATGGAAACCCATTTTTCGGTTTGTAATGTGCCTAAATTACAAATAGGAGATAAAACTAATAAGTCATTTTTCATAAAAATTTGTCACTAGCCATTATGGCGGCGGTCACTTTTTTTAAAATCTAATTGATCAGTTTTCACTTTATAATTTGAGGGTGCGATATAATATCGCAATGCTGGTCTGCCACGCGCAGGTCCCGGTTTTGATTTGATTGAAATATTTGTATGACCTACATTTATTTTTTTCGAGTTTGTGTGGAACTTGTGTGGTTGTCTATGTGTGTCCATGGCACCCGCGATGTAAGGTTTCCTTTGTGTTAGTGTGGGGCTCAGAATATGTGCGTTATTATTATCAAAAAACATTATATTTAGATTTTAATATATGAGATTTATAATATGAAATATATTCATTTATTTATTGTGAAATTACTCCACTAATTTGTTTAAATCGAACACAAATAATTATAATTTCAGAATAAATAAATTAATATCATATTTTTCATATTATAAATCTCACAATATTACATGGTAGTAAAACATCGTTATATTATAAATAAATCCTATATGAAAGAAATGATTGTATTTTGTGTATCTACTTTTAAACAACTTTATTTCATTATCTAAAACCCGTTATTATTAAACTTTTACGATATAATCCTCCCCAAGATAACACTTTTACTTGTCATTAACATACAATGAATTGCGATTAGAAAATACTGTGCTTTGTTCTCTTTTAAACATTGTCACTTGTTAAAGTATGGTGGTATAGTGTATGAACAATAAAAATATAAATAATTACAATTTTCTCACATTAATGTAATTAACAGAGATTGTAACAGATAGATATATACCCGGAATAATTAATGATAAAAGGATAAAACCGCGAAAAAACCGCGCCAGACCTCACTAATTTTTCTATGTTTTGTCGGATTTTTGTATCTGGTTTTCAACTACTTTTTAGACGTAGCGCCATCTATGAAAAATCTATGAAAGTATTTCGTCACCCAGTTAGGCATCTTTACAGCTACCAGCCCAGGCTAGAGATGTGATCTTTGTATTAATAATTATAACAAACGAGTGGAGTAATTTCACAAAAAATAATTGAATATCATTGTGGTGAACCATCCGGACATTCAATAAAAACACTTAAAAATGGGCTTATTAAAAATATTACAGCGTTATTTGTTAAGCTACCGAAAACTTTTACGTAAATAAAAATACAGAAAAATCTGACGTAAAACTACAGTATTTACCTACTTAATTTATATTTTACCCAAAACTATTGTTAACCATTTTTAACGTAAATCACCTGTAATTTTAAAAGCGACCTTGTTTTACGATCTAATTTCTGTAAATGAAAATAAAACTCTTAATTACATTCACCTAGAATCAATGTTGAATTGTTCATTTATTATGTAATGTCTTGTTAATAATATGAATATTATTTAAATTCAAATGTTATAAATTGCAATGCCCCAACACCGCCGTCCACTAATTAGAACGCGGCTATGTGACAAATGGTCAAATATCCGTTTTTAATAGAGTAAGAAAGGGCACAAAATTATCTTTTAAAAACAGTTAAAATTAGTTAACGTCGTCGTAAAATTAGGTAACGATAAGTCGAACACTTATCGGAACTTACCCTAACGATGCAAAGCTGTTAATATGATTAAACAATTGCAATATTCTAAAACTGGGTTATGGTTTTTTTATGATATCTTAAAAAAATATTTTCTCACTTAGCTTAGTAGTTTTAGTTAGTGGACGGCAGAACAGGGTTCATATACTGTTCATAAACTATTCCATCATACAGAAATATGTACCTACTATCATAATAACAATATAGGACATAGATCGATAAGTTAGAATTTCTTTCAGAAGTTTACTACATTGTTTCGATGTATAGTTTTTATTTTCGTAGAATTGTGATTTGCTGAATTTGATTAATTTGTCGATATATTCTGTGTTTATTTTCTAAGTAACTCATTTTAACGCAGCTTGGTATTATAGTTACCTTCAGGTCGCTGCAATTGCATTTGTTTTTCGTGACCTTTATTATTTCCCATAATAAAAAGCAAAAAATGGATGACCTAAGGGCGCGTTTCCATCATATCGTAACGTTTTTATCGTCGCGTCTAGCCTGTTCCCATATCACGACTATCTGTAGTGACTTGACGTGTGTCGATCGTGATCGATCGAATCAAAATGCTTCGAACAGCACCTATGACCCTAACACGCTTCTAAATAACCCGATCATTTTAGAGTTTCATTGGTCATGCGCGCAATATTCGACTATATCACTATAATTTTAGAGATTATCCAACAATTCACAATATTATTGTTGTCTCGTTCACTCTCACGTGAAGTTCCCACTCGCGACACGGTTCGCCTTTTGAGTCTTGGTTTCGGTCGAATATTTGTTCGATAGAAACTTCGTTCGATCGAACCAAAAAGTTAAGCCATCGATCAACGAGTCAACGGGTTAATGGATCAATGAGTCTATCAATCATTAATTCTAATTGCTCCGTGGCGTAGTGTTCATTACATGGTAATTTTGTAAGTTTAATCTGTTTTTCGATATGTTGTGTTTATTTATCAGTGCACTAGCTAATATTAATGAATAATAAATTTGTGATTTTTAATGCTCATAACTTTTTTGTTATGTACTTTTGTTTTGTAGGTGTTACTTTTCCTAGAAATAAATTTTAGTGTCCTAAGTGTGGTTTATCAATGATGCATTTAACTTTATACACATTATGCATCAGCAGGAAAGAATAAAAGCTAATTGTGTAATTTGACATTGGAAGTTTCGTGAGCGACGGGTGACTCGCTAAAAGATCGAACATATTATGATCGAATCATTTGACCCGATCACATTACGCATGGGTCACGATCGACCCGGGTTGTCAAAAATGATCGACCGACACAGGTCTAGTAGTGACTGTGTCGTGGCCGTTTATTTTATCGTTGAACGACAGTCGTGTCTAGCTGTTTGACAATTTATCGGTTCACGGCAGCCGCCTTGTCGTCGTCAACAGACTGTCGTCGTTTTATATATCGTCGGACGACTGTCGTTCCAGCTCTTCCCATTGTCACGACAATCTGTCGTTGTAACGTCAAAAAAGTCGTAAACGACAGTTAATCGCATTGTTCTATGTGTGAACAACTTCGTTTGAATATACAAGCCACGACACTTTAAACTGCACGACTATCTGTCGTCACGATATAATGGGAACGCGCCCTTAGAATTACTCTCAAAGTCTGTCAACGAAAAGACGGGTTCGTTCGAAATTGTTAAACAGGTCATTCGCGACACTAGTAGTTTAGTAGTTTAGCAGCAGTAAAGCTACTTGTAAAGGAGGTCGTTCAGGGTAGCACTGCTCACTTACTGCGTACTTCCCTGGACGAACTCTTTGACAAGGAGCTCTACTGCTATTCATATTACTATATCTTATTCCGAGATTGCAAAAGGTAGTGTTATTCACTCAATGTGTACAATTTACTTCATTAACGACATCGGTTGGACCAATTTAAGAAATAAAGTAAATTCCAGTCTGAGTGTTCCGTGTTTTGTCCCGGAGTGAATTCCGTTACTTTGGTATTCTTAATATACAAAACCCTAGCGTACTTTTAATATTCCTTGAAGTTTGGGGGAAAAAAATACTCTGGTAATTAGTTTCGGTTAAATTGACACCCATTTTAACTGTCCTCACACCGTTATAGATAATTAATATTAGCTTTTGTCAGGTCCTTAACCTCAAATCTCTGCTCCTAATAAGGTTTTACTAATGGTTGTTTTACCTTGTTTGTTAAGCTGGGTTTTTTAATGGCAAAGAAATATAATTTTATGCATTTTGTAAAGGATTTGTCTGTTTTAGAAATCTGTGTTTTGATTTAATGTATTGTGAGCGGTTATTGATATTG